ATTTTGCACCAGTGGTATTAGCTGTACTTTTTCATTTTGAATTTGAAGTATGATTGTAATAATTGCGATTATAACTATTGTATTTCAGAGTCTGTAAATTCTATTATGGATGATGTCATGGTTGTATTTTCTAATATCAACATTAATTATTTTTTAACTTTAATGGTTGCCCTACCAAGAATAAGGTTAGAGTGTTTTGTCATTCTGTGTAAAATATACAATGTATAATCATGGACTATCTTAGTCTGGAACTCTAGTAGCACATCAATGTACTGTAGAAATTGTACAGATGTAAAGTTTCATTTTAAAGGCATCAATGCTGAGTCTGATTCAAAAAGAGTTGTAGTTTTCATTTTGAAGTTGTAGTATCTTAACAATTGTAGTAAAACTGTTTCAGAATTTGTAAATGTTTATTATTGATGGCGTCATGGTTGTATTCCACAATTTTTAACTTGACTGGCTGTTCCAACTTTGATTTTATGAATGATTGTTCTAACAAGAACAAAGGAAGAGTATACTGTTGTTATGTGTTTACTGTATATCGTTTGTAATCCTTACATTTTTTTTAATTTTTGTAGTATCGTAACAATTTCAGAACCTGTAACTTTTCATCACTGTCGATTCAATTTTCAGTTTTGTTGTATCTAAAAAATTCTCTAGTATTTGCTTAATATCTTTCAGACATACCATGGTATGGCCCTAATATGTCGCTTTTCCTGGTGTTTCTTCTGCTTCTACTTCACTGGAAGACTTCATTCTTAAAGAGGGGATAACTAATAAAGTATTGAACAGGGCTGATTACACAAAATGTCCGTATTTTGCGGAAATGTTTGCGGATATAAGGCAGATGGAAAAGTCTATCCTTGACTAGTGAAACAACCTTTTTTAATTTTTGGTGACAAGTTAAGAAGGCTTCATTTTAAACCTGGACGACTTGGCAAATAACTCACTTTGGACAGAAATAATCTTGTTCTACTCCTGCGCAGGTGTGAATTTGGAACAGTCCATTTAATGGAGAGGGGTATGACTGAAATATGCTGTATTACTAGTATCATTTATTATGCTAAGCCACACCAATGAAGAGACTAAATAAAGTTGATGCATTTAACTTGTGTGTGGTCTGTTGCCGTCAGTTTGCCTCAAAATAGTCAACAATTAGCTAGTCACTTCAAACTAACATATTCGATTCATATCAAGTTTATCAAGTTTTATTAATAAAAATCAGTCTTGCAGCTAGTGTACAAACAAGCTGAATAACACTGATTTTTTACAATTGTGTAGTGAGTACAAATACAAACTTAACATTACAATACGTATACAGACACACAAACAAACACATTACAAAGCCACACATGGGCACTGAAGTAAAGTCCAGAGAGTCTTGAAAGTCATTACTGCAAAGACCCGTTGTACAGGCATATTGCCTTGTGTAAGAAAGAGTTTTTCAGTCTTTTTGTACGGGCTGCTGGTACTGTGAGTGCAGTTCGATTTTTTAAGGTCCTCCCAGTGGCCGTTGTCCTGGCCGGTGGAACCAGGTCATGGAGGGGGTGACCCTCGTCCAGCATGTTCTTCAGTAGTTTCACTGCCGCCACCTCTCGCCTTTCCTTCAGCGTTGGCAGAGGAGGCACCTCACGTCTTCCCCCCAGTGAGATGATCCTGAGTGCTCTCCGCTGTACTCTTTCAATCAGTCTTTCCTGCTCCTTATTACACCCTACTAGTAGTACGTGCCCATATTCAAGTACAGGTCTGATAAGTGTGATGTAGACCTGGACCAAATCTACAACACTAGTGCCCTGTTTAGTAAGGAGCCTTAAATAATGAAGCCTACGCGAAGCCTTCGTGACCATAGAGATCACCTGATCATGAAAAGTCAAATTCTTATCCAATATATAACCCAAGCCCTTGGCCAGCTCAACACATGGCACCTGTTGTCCCCCTAAGATAATCTTTGGTGGGATTCTGTGCTTTGCCTTAATAATGATTGAGTGAAATAGTTTTTTAGTTAGGATAAAGCAAGTACATTTTATGGTTTAAATCGTCCACAGACTTCAAATATCATGCGATAAGGTGAAAAAAACAGGACTCCTACATTTTAAAACTTTGAGATCGTAAACCTTGTCAAACAAGTATTTTAACAACAAAACATGATCACAACCAACAGGTCTTTTTCATTCCTGTATTCAATGGCACCACCTGTCCTTGTGCATACATCTTAATCAACTGAGTCACAGACTTCGCGGCAGTCTGATATTTTGTTGTTTAGATGGTGTCTTTTCCAGTCATTATCAAACAGGTTTCTAGATCATTTTGCAACTGACACATGTATACAAATTGTTAAAGTATGGTCATCTGTCTGTAGATGTGCTACATACCTGGTAATAAGGCTACAGTTGACGTCACACTTAAAAGAAGCCATGTGACAAGCCTCACTGGGTCAGTCTACTGATGAAGACCAGACTGACTGGTCAAAAACTCTAGGTGAGAGGATTTTTTGTGTTGGACCAAAAGTTTTAACTTTGAACCTGTAACTACCAACACAGATGAACTTTCATGAAAGGCTACAGTAGATTGATTGGAAGTAGACTGCAGTATGTTTACTAATGATGATTTCTCATGATGTAGTATTAATTAACGTTGGGCTAATTTGTGCGAGCTCGAAAAGCTGATACATGTATTACCAGTTCCTTCACTCCTTGCATATGTGTGGGGAATCTTGATAAACAGATAAAGAAAAAAACTAAATTTTGAACAAAAAATTCAAGAAAAAACTTTAAATAACCATCATGGCAATGCACTAGGTATTGATATGTAAGGCCGCACTAAGTAATTAATATAGATAACATCCATGCACGCATTGATTTTGGTCTGCCAGAAAAAAAAAGAAATTAGTAAACACTTCCTACTGTGCTGTAGTTTCTGTTTAAACCTGTCAAAACCGAAAAAAAAACACATATAGAACAGTCAGCTTTTTCCACATATTTATTTACCTAATATTAATAATCTCACATTTATACACACATGTACCATAAACAGTGCAAACAGAAATATGAAAGAAAAATGACACACCTTTTTTTTTGCATAAGTCCATATCGTTTGCAATAGATACAAAATGATAATTTTACCTTGCAAGGCAATTTTCATAATTCTATAGTTTTAATAATTAGCATTTGGCCAGACACATATTCACAGATAGGCTTAATGTACAATGTATTTCATAGATGGCCCCAAAGTGTCATTAAAATGACACAGACTTTCAGTAACCTATGATCCACTGCTCACCTGAAGTCATGTGTGTTATCTGGCAGTGCATAACATTGTTTCACAGAAGTGGTCTCTCACTCCAGAGCATTCCTTGACAAAGACTGGAGTAAGGTTATACAGTCAAAAATTTGGGCTAGTCCAATTTCTTGACTTGAGTGGGAAATTATACTTTAAAGTTTCTTCATAATGACTTCTACCAAAACAGGTTAACCTTTAAGATAATTTACAATTTTCAAAGTTAAACCTGCATAACCAAATTCATCCTTACATAAAAAAACTATAGTTATTATATATGTCAATGACAGCAGATGAAATATATCTATCCAGTATTGAAACTTACATTTGGTCAACTGTTTGACATTTTGCTGTCAGACCATCATGGCCATGTCTACATCACTGCAACAATAATCAAAGCTACATGTATGCATGTATATTGTACGTGTATCAACACTAACTTATATGTAACACAAATGTATTTCCTTCCAATTCCAGCTTGGTTTTATATCGCTAAACCAATTCTTTGTTTTGTCTATCATTTGCCACATGCAACTTTCCTTGTTCATAGCAGCTACCACGGTTTCATTCCACTTTATTAGTTGATTCCCTGACCATGCCATTACTATGCAAAGAAGTTACTCAAGCGACTGGATATGATTTTGGAAACGGTCAGACGTTTCAGCTAGTATCCACTAGCTTTTGTCAGTGACTGAGAGACCAGAGGGGAAATGAAGGTTTATAAGCACAAACTATTGATTGATTGTTCCCTTTTCGACTTTAAATTGTCTTCACTTCATTTGCATATCAATCAATAGTTTGTGCTTATAAACCTGCATTTCCCCTCTGGTCTCTCAGTCACTGACAAAAGCTAGTGGATACTACAAATGTAGCTGAAACGTCTGACCGTTTCCAAAATCATATCCAGTTGCTTGAGTAACTTCTTTTTGGCATATCGTATTACCTGGATGTCTAACCTTCATCGATGCATGCCATTACTACTTTGTTCATTTGTATTTGTATACAAAAATTATATACAATGTGTATGTGTATCTTACTATACACTGTTGATTATATATTGTGCATTAGCAGAATTCAATCATATGGACACCTGCATGCATGGGATATTGGTTAACACTAGAGGGGCAGTAAGATCTGTTTTGGCATCCATCTTACTAGTACTGCTATATTCCAACCTTTTTTTATTTTATATTTCATCACTCATTAAATGATAGCAGAATGACAAGAATTGCTTTCTACGAAATTGTTTGAAATTTTAAATCCATATAGTGATATGCATATCCACAAAGTTCTAATATGTTTAATTGAACAGTAATTATTAGGCCACACCAATTTAATTTGTTGTTTCTCGGATTTGCCTTTTTTTTCTGATTTGCAAAAAAAAAAATTTTTTTGTTCTAAATCAACTGCAAAATGACAATGAAAGACATATTTTGGCCCCATTGAAAAAAGTCCTTTTCTTCCTAGTTGTTACAGTTATTCAATGTTACAATGCAATTTTGTTTCATTAAAAGTTCAAAATCTATTGTTTTGATTATAAACCAGCCTGGTATTGTTCACTTCATGGCTCATATTGTAACATTTCCAGCTACTAGTATCATGGGGTGCCTTGGCCTGTTTTTTTTTAAATTTATTTATTTCGCCCTGTCGCTTCATAATTCTGAAAAAATCCGAGAAACAACAAATTAAATTGGTGTGGCCTAAACTGCCCCTTGCAGTGAGTTGCATCTAAGAAAAAATGATTGCTTTCCACACTGATTTTTCAATCTCAAATTGAAACATTTTATCTTCAGTTTTCAGTTTTTTTGTTTGATTTTTACATCAAAATGCCAGATTGCCCACATTTCTTCAAGAAATAGGAATAAATTCAACAACAGCAATCTTAAATATTACCTCTCCACGATCAGTACCATTCTCATCATTCAGAGTTCATAAACTTTTATATATTGAATACTTAGGCCACAGAAATGTACTTTTTTGGTTCAAGAATGGCTCTTATGCTGAAGAGGAAGAGCAACATTATAACTGTAAAGTCTGGACCTGATGGTACGTACAGTTTCAGGGAATGAATGTTGCCAGATTCAACGAATATTTTTGCAATTAAGATATTTAGGGTTCAAAAATGATACATAGTGCCCCTTCAAGTCCCTTGAATGGTTAAGTCCAGGTTTGACTGTACTGTAGGGAACCAATGAAAGTAAACTCTGTGGCCTTTAACCCATCTAGTCTCTCCTGATGTACATCCAGGCATTGATGAGCCAGAAGGCGAGAGTTACGGAGTACAGGATGAGTTCTCGCTGGTTTCGTTGTTCGTTCTCTTCCTCCAGGATCTGTAGTCTCCTGCCGACTCTGGACAGCTGGCGCCGGAGTTCTTCTACCTCGTCTTCCGCCATGGGCGTCACGGCGTCCATGTTGGCTGGAGCCGGCGCCAATTCACTGGGAATATAAAATCCATGTACATAGAAAATACAAATCAATCTTAGGCCACAGCAAGTAAATATTATGGATGACATCCTCCCCAGACTCCAAATCTAATGCGAGTGGGCAAAAAAAAACAAGGTGGGCCAAAAAAACAAGGTTCCTAAATTTCAAAATTTTGACTCAATCATTGGTACAAATGGTTTTGATTCAGTGGGCACATCACATATACACAAAATTTTTTTTTCCAAAATCAGGCGAAAATTAATGTGCGCGCTGATGTCATCCATAAAAATTACTTGCTGTGGCCTTATTTATACAAGTTAAATCTTATAATTTGCTTCCCCTCAGCAATGTGAGCCTTAAAGCGATATTATATAAGATTGTCACATAATTTTAAACAGTGTTGGTTTACACATTTTCTTGTGCTATAAGCCTACCTGGGTTCATAATGACATTATTTTGAACTGGGTTCACATGTTTCACCAGTAACAGCTGCTTACCTGTCGGGATCGGATACAGGAGTTCTTATTTACACAACCAATAATTATCTTACCTAGAGTGTCTGTCAGACACCTTCATCAGAGCTTCTGACTGGAGTTCTGCTTCTCACCGCTCCTGTATCCCATACTTTACCAACCTGATGGAACTATTTTTTACTCCGTGAAGGAGGTCAGGACCTCCGGACGGAGTGTTGTAATCGGCTGATTTTTCATGTTCGCAGTCAAAACACTGGGTTCTCTTTGTGTAATCGGCACGCAATTTTATACGCCGTTTGCGGGCATGCCCGTGTTGATGCACGAATGTGTATTTTTGCCGTTGCTGCTTTCGCGGTCAATGTAATATCGCAGACGCACCCCTACAATTACGAGGCGAATTGGAATGGTCCAGAAAAACGCGTTGTTTGGAATAGCAGTGGGGTTCAAAAAAGTTCATGCAGATACGGGGTGGTTTTTATAAGTGGTTCCAGATGTTTTTGCCCATGGTTAAGAGATGCCAAGTTTTTTGGAAGATGTTCGCAGCCAAAACGCATTCTTCCGTACGTCGCATTTCTGTGTAATTTCGCATGTGGTGTTGCATTATGTCCGGGATGATGCACGTCTTTTTATTTTTACCGTAGCTGTTTTGATATTGGAGTAAATGCTTATTTTCGAAACATCCCCATTTCTTTGAAATGGTTTCGTCCGTTTATGCAACTGTTACTGCGCTAATGACGACCAGTCGCGCTGTCCTGATACACCGCGAATGTGCGAGTGTTCCCTGTAGACAGTCCCGGGAGTCATTTTTTTGCACATTCCAGGAGCCAAACCAAAATACGTTCATGAACCGAGTCCAAAAAACCGAAACGTGAAAATCGGATGATCGGACCTGATGTACATTTCTCTTTCTATAGATTGTACACACAATACACACATCTTTAGATAATCTGGCCATGGCAGGTTAAAAAAAAGTAACCCTGAATCATACTAGATTAGCGTAAATGCATGTTAATGCGTTCAAAACAAGAAAAAAATTGTTTCCGGGTATTAATCTCTTGAATCACGGCGCTGAATATTGACGCAAAAATATTTCGGGCATCGCGCGCCCTTCCCGCGTCACGTGTAGGCATCTCGCATCTCTGATTGGTTGTTGCGTCTTAAGATGACTGAGCCGACGCGCGTTTAAACAATTTTTCTTTGTTCGATTTATCACACTTCACAGAGAATTGTCGCCAATGGCTACTTCTTTTTGTTGCAATATATAATACTTCACGGAGAATTGTCGCCTATGGCTTCTTGTTTTTTTTGTTTCGCATAACCGGTAAACCGCCTTTAGGCGTAACAGGCGTAACACACCAGTTTTGTACATGTGTGTACATGTTCAAGCTGCGTATGACTGGACTGTGAGGTTTTGAACCACTCACACCGAGAAGGTTCCCTACTAGTGCTGCATACCTAAACCCACATTTAGGTTCAGGTCCGGATTCAAGTCCAGAGGTTTAGGTTCAGTTCCGGACTTGTAAGTCCGGACCTAAACCCATGGCATATACAAAATTGCATGTTGGCAACCTTGCAGGGTTGTCTGGGTGAAACTTTGGCCACATAACATGGAGGCCGACACTTGATGATGCCCGATGGCAATGTTTTCTTCATTTTGCAGCTAAGATTTTGGAATCTCATCATCATTTTGGAATCTAAAGAAGGTTTTAGGTGGTTGGAAAGAAAAGGGGTATGCGAAATGGTCTTTTATGGTAATAAGTCCGGACTCGGTTCTTGACTTTTAGGGTTTTTTTTGGACTTGAACCTAAACATTCTTACAAGTCCGGATCTAAGTCCAGTGAACCGGTATGCAGCGGTGGGATCTTTAACGTGCATGGGGTGTGGCTCTCCCAAACACGGGACCTCCATTTAACGTCCTATCCGAGGGACGGTTTTTGGTTACCTGTCGGGTACTGCGATTCCGTTGGGTAGCCCGCGGCCGGCGAGGGGTTCTCGGGACCTGCGGCCGCTGGCGGTCCGCGGCCGGGACTGTGGCCGTTCCTGGATCTCCAGACTCTCCAGATGTTCCTCTAACGTGAGCGTGCGAGGGGGGGTCTGTAAGCTGACGGGAGGGGGTTGTGCAGGGAGCATGGTGTCCAGGTCCAGGGTACGGGGGGACTGGTGCTGTCCCTTGTACTGTCCTTCACCTGCACACAAATAAGTCATGTTACATTCTGGTACATACATGCACTGGTACAGGTAACATTATAACATACCTGCACTTATCAAGTTAGAATCAAAACCATAACTGTTCATCAAAACAAATACTTGTAACTACTAGTATTTTAGTGGTACAGGTACAAATGTATAAGGTATACAGACCTATGAACCTGATTCTTCTAACAAAAGCATGTGGTCTTGTACAGCATATATCTTTAGTATCTAGTAATTACATGCATGTCATACGCAACAGGAAATGATAGTTTGATAAGAGCATCATCACATAAGGTCCAATCATTCTTTGCTCTGGAACTGTGCACCAGAATAGAGTTTTATTACAGATTTTAACTTATACTCCGAGTTATAGTCAAACTTGTCCAAGTGACCACTTGTATGAGCAGACGATCTGGCCATAATGGTTGTTTTTTCTGACATTCTAGTTATCTTAAATGGTGCACCCCCAAAAATTTTTGTGCACCCAATTTTTTAGGTTTGTACCTGCGACAGTGATCCTGTCTGGTACGTCCATGCTGGCGTGAACGTGTCGTGTTTCGCCCGGCGTGACGTAACTCTCCTCACCCTCCGCAACCTGGATCTTATCTGGGACCCTCATCTACACTCAGGAACACAAAACAAGACATATATTAAAGTATGCTTTAATAATATGCTAGTAGCTTATTATTATTAATTTATATGATATGATATTAATCTTTCATTACATATTCCTGCCCAGATGGACTAAATGCACATGTGACCATCATACTACTAGTATGTGGTCTAGAGAGCACGTCGGCAGAACGTACTGCGCCTGCGCAGAACCCTGTATTTTCACGGTTTTCGTTAAATTTTTGGTCAACGTTGCATTAGAATTTTGCCTGTTGCAAAGGATATCTTTTCCTACATAACATTTGGAAACTACAGATGGGATATTAACCTTACTTTAGTATATGCGCAAATACGACCTTATATGAGACATTCTGCCGAAGTGCTATGTATAATACATTACAGGTTTTGCGCAAGTGCAGTTCGTTCTGCCGATGTGCTGGTCTAGAGCATGTAAGACATGTCATGAGTACCTTTGTTGAGATGTCAGCGGTGTATTCTGCATTGTAGGAGTATCTGAGCGTGTCCAGGTCCTGTTCTGGAGGGTTAAACACTTTGGTGGGACTGGCCATGGTCACAGCTTACTCTACTAACTACCAGCACTGGAGAAAAAAAACAACAACAGAAAGCAAGTTCAAAACAGTAGAATACTTGATGACTTACAAGAAGACAAAGCTATAATAATTTTAAAAAGCACATTTATAACTCAAGATTACACAAGCTAACGTTAAGATATCGACAAAATATTTTTCTGTGTTCTATGACAAAGCCATAACTATAAGAAAACGTACCTTTGTACAAAATTGTATGTTTGACTTCCATAAAAACAATTTGTAGAATTGATATCTTATTATAACCCTGGGCGGGATGCCCTAGATAGGGCTTTGCCCAGTATCATATAGAACTAGAACTAGAAATTATTGTCTATGAAAACGGTCCATGAAAATGTTCACGAAAACGTTTGTTAAACCATGGAGGTAAAAACTAAAAAATTATACACATAAATTTTTACCTCCATGAATACCAAGGAGCGGTACGAATGCCTTACATATTACCATTATGCTCGAGTTTCTACTTACATGTTCACTCCCTATTCTCGAAAATGTCCTGATAGATAAGTACAGAACGTGAAAATTGTTAACGTAATTAATTCTGCGACAAGAATATCATGAAAAGACAGGTTTCGGTCACTTCGTCTCTTCCTTGCAAATTTCATCCGCCATTTTGGGAAGGAATTCTCGCTTGGTCACGCGAGATGAAGTGAATAGCGGCTCCTAGCGGTTTGTTTTAACATAGCAGGATGATGGGTGATGGCCTTGTGCAACCCGCTTTTCACTATAAATCTCCAAGCAGATGCCTTTCGGTGGTAAAAAGACAGTATCAAATTGGCCAGGCAGTATCCATTAGCCAGAGAAGGTCACCGGCCACCGACGGGGTCTACAGAATGTCGCACTGGATAAAGTTATTACTGAAATGAAATACCTTTATTGTCACGTTCATGCCACGACGGGCTAGGTACAGGTCAAGATATAACAGACACATAACAAACATATGTAGAAAAGTGGAGACAAAAGATACACTACTTGACTTAGATATACATACACAAGGGTACTATACTGCTGCTCTAGTTACTGAGCTAATACAAACTTCTTCTCGCTTTACAATGGGAACAGATGATGTTTGTGATACAGCTAGGGTTTGTCTAGACGCATCAAAAATGTAAATTTATCGTTTGCATTTAGGTGTTCAAAGCATAGGGACATCTCTTTGATATGATTAAAAAGGACAGACCTTTCATTAGAATATAAAGAACAGTCTAAAATAAAGTGTTGTTCATCTTCTATTCTATTCATGTTACAGTATTGACAGAGTCTATTCTGGAGAGGAATGCGGTTGCGCCTTCCCGTTTCAATGAGTAATTTGTGACAACTTATTCGGAGTTTAGTTGCAGCTACCCTGTGTTGTATGTTGTTGACCAATAGGTACTCTTCTTCTTTATATACACTTTTAAACAAACGGCACGTTCGTAACTTGTTACTAGAAGATGTACCTCAGTCTGTTATGGTCATTGTGGATTTCAGTGATAAATGTTTTAGGTGTAAATATCTTTCAATCGTTGGCTGATGGAGTTAATTATTGGTGATAGGTTTGTGCTAAGAGATATATCAGGACGCCGTACGTACGTAAGCAAAACCGCATTCCTCCAAAGTTTTACGAATACCGGACGCCCAGCATTTATTGCCGCTAGTCTCTAGCTGTAGTTGATATGAGAGGGCGTCCGCTTTTAAGTATTTTCTTCGTATACGCCAATACGTGACGTCTGACAGTCTGGGAGGCCTCCACGTGCATTGGGTACCTCCCTAGTTCCGCCCTTCACGCAAGGTTACAGTTAGGCCATGTTGAGTTGATTATATGGATGACATCCTCTGGGAACCCCAAAACTGATGCGAGCGCGCGAATAAAAAAGGTTTGCAAAAGTTGCTTTCATGAAATCTACGTTGTTATGAAGGTCGAACAAATGACACAGAGTATGGTATGGCGAATAATCTACTCTTTAAATTCATTTCTTTGCATTTTAGTTTTTTGTTTGATTTTGGCATTCTACGACGTTGGAATCGTTTTCAAATATTTTTTTTTGCAACTTTCGGTATATATTTGCTCATTTTGCAACTGTTTTGTACAATTTACAGTGTGGTTGGAAACTTTTTTTTTTTTTGGAAACGGCTGAAAATTCATGCGCGCGCGGATGTCATCCATATAATCAAATCAACATGGCCTTACTAGTAACACGCACTTGTTACCTAGCCTAATCAAACCGCGATCAGTCCGGGTTTAGGAAGAAGGTGTGAATTATGCCCGGGGCGCATCCCGGCGTCCCTGTCACTACTCTCCAAGCAGAGGTTGTGGGGGGATGATCGTTAGCTTTTATATAGTTTTAGACATAGCTATAGCTTTAGACTATTACCTTTTATTATGTAGATTTTGAAGTTATTTTGTACTCTGTGTAAATGTCCTTCATCCTTTGTTCGCTGCAATTAGCCTTCGGGCATGAATTTGCAATAGACTTATGTATATATGGTGGGGGTCAGAACAAACAAAAACGGCCATATATAAATTGCAATTTAAAAAGCTAACGATCATTCCCCCACAACCTCTGCTTGGAGAGTAGCTTTTGCACAGGCTTTTGTAAAAAAAAACTGGTATGGCGAATAATCTACTCTTCAAATTCATTTCTTGACATGACTTTTTTGTCTTTTTTTCGTTTGATTTTGGCAATCCACGACATTGGTATCATTTTCTTCAACTTACGGTGCACTTTTGCTCATTTTGCAACTGTTTGGTACGATTTACAGTATGGCTGAAAACTCTTTTCTTTGGAAACGGCCGAAACTTCATGCGCGCGCGGATGTCATCCATATATTCAAATCTTCAACATGGTCTTAACGTTAAGTAGAAAGAAAGTAACTGAATCTAGCATTTTCAAAAGTTACTGCGAAACAACTTAGTAACAGGACACCCATCACACCCCCTCTCTTTGAAAACATTTGGTACAGTCCTCAGCTGATCGCTGTTACCATGGTGACGAAATGTCCCGCCATTGCGGTCAAATCTGTGACGATCTCAGAATACATACGACGTTAGATAGATATAAGTTAGCCGTGTCTACAAAGAGCAAATATTAATAAATGCATTTCTAGATCGACGTTATGATTTTACGTTGCATTGTTCTGGATGTCAAGATACGGACTGCACCATGACGGGCACTCATGTTAATTAACATTATCCTGCAGAACAGCAAGCTCAGAGGCACAAGTACTAGTCGGAAAATTAGGGTGAGTGACACTGTTTTCAATCATGTTGTCTGAGAATTTCTAGATGTTTTAAACTGGCAAGGGCAACTTGAAACCCAGACCTTGACCAGGGCACACACAGGCCGGCTCCCGGCGCCAGGTCCAGGGTAGTCCCGCAGAAAAATTTGCCTCGCCCTGGAAGGACTTTTACGTAACGTTAACGGGAGGGGTCCTAATTCCGACCTAAGTTTCATGCAAACGCACATACCTTTGGTAATAGTTTATCTGACCAAAAACTCGCGCAACATGAGATATAATATTGACAGATAAAGATCACAACGATAAAAGCTGCACAGCTGTGTATTTCACTTCAAGGTAGAGCCTTGCACCCAAGCGTAATGGTTCACGAAACTTAAGGCAGTTTTTTGGTCATTTTGTGGCTGTTTCAAAAGGAAAACCTGCATTTTTGACACGATCGTCAACCCCTGAACAAGCTTCAAATTCAAACACATTCTTCACTCGTCTGTTGTCGGAGTGTACGAACTAAAACAGACTTTGTGTGATACCGATATCAACACAAAAACGTCCATTATTGTGGTTATTTTTTGGCACGTGCTCCCATGCATAACGCTGCAACAAGGATTTTTCAAACTAGTACGGAATTAGGGATAGGTCGGAATTAGGGGTTACATGTATAGAAACTGTACTACAGTACCGAGGGAACCCAGTCACTAGAAGAGACGGGCCTACTTTTAGTTAAAACCACCAAAGTGGGAAGAAAGGTGGTGAGAAAAGCTGGGTCAAGTGTTTTCTGATATTCAAGTATTGTTACGATTGGCTTTTAGGTTCTATTCTTAGGCAGAAAAACAGCCAAGTATCGATTTTATATGGTCTGAAGTGTGAGTTCACCAGCCTAAACTACACTGATGACTACAGAGACATTTTTACAGCCACATATTTACAGCAAAGCTCAATACGGTTGATTTTCCTAATGTCCGTATGTTTGCGACAATCACAGTGAATGCACACTTCTTTAAGTTAAGTGTTTCGCTGACATGGGTATGATTGGAATGACCTTGACCATCGGTCTGGGATCTAGAAACAATCGTAGTTTCTGTCATAGGAAAAACAAGTTCTGCCTTTTCAGCCACTTACGTTACATATTTCTCTCACTACTCATTGGAAATTCGATCGCATTAGTTAATATAGGCCTAGGGTCGCACCTACAGATTCATTACGTAAAGGATGTGTGTGTGTGTGTGTGTGTGTATGCTATGTGTGTGAGTGTGTGTATGTGTGTGTGCTTGTGTGTGTGTGTGTGCTATGTGTGTGAGTGTGTGTATGTGTGTGTGCTTAAGCTTGTGTGTGTGTGTGTGTGTGCTATGTGTGTGAGTGTGTGTATGTGTGTGTGCTTGTGTGTGTGTGTGTGCTATGTGTGTGAGTGTGTGTATGTGTGTGTGCTTGTGCGTGTGTGTGTGTGCTATGTGTGTGAGTGTGTGTGTGTATGTGTGTGTGTGTGTGTGTGTGTGTGTGTGTGTGTGTGTGTGTATGTGTGTGTGTGTGTGTGTGCGTGCGCGCGCGCGTGTGCATTTCCATGTAGGCAACAAGACTTTCAGCCGAAGTGTTATACACATACGTACAGTTTCGCAAGTCCTCTCTACTTCCGATTCTAAACCTAAAACGATTATTGGTGATGCTTATTGAATTTCCGTTTTTATCGATTCTGTTTTGTATATTTCAGATCTAGATCCGACATTCCGACTAATTCGTCATCTAAGTGACGTCAAGCACTATGGTGGACAGAAGACATATTTTCATTGCAGTGCTGTGTCTCTGTATCTTTGGCAACATCCTCCTCATAGAGTTTCCAATCACTGTCATCATTGGCTCTCCTCACGGAAACACCACTGGCCTGCAGTTCCGACTGGTAGGGATAGGTGTCCCCACGACACTGGGGAACGTGGGAAACGTACAACGCGTGATGCCGCGGCCAGTGGGGGCACACATCACATACAACACGACACAGACTCAACTGCTTCTCAACGTTGATACGACAACGAGCAAACCATCGTTTACGGGAGAAACTGGAAACGTTTCTCTGCTAAATTCTACGATGGAAGATCCTCAGACCATTATGTGGAGGGAAGAGATGCTCTGTAAGATAAAGACGAAGATTCCTTTCTCAACCATATCTAAGACGTCCGTGAAAAAGAGTACAGACCAAGCCGTTCTACCTGAGGAGAGAATGGAGACCGTGGTGCACTATAACACGTGTGCGGTGGTGGGCAGCGGGCATGGGTCCAGACTACACACGTACGGACGGGAAATAGGTACGTCCTCCTGTCTTTTGTGGGATTTCTCAATGTTTTTTTAAACATATTGCTTTTACTCAGTTTCTCCCTCTTCTTCTTCAAACAGTGTCCTCTGACCTGACCAATGACATGATTTGTTGACGTCTGTCACCATGGTGACTGGTGTTGGCTTACATAATGTTGCAATTTCATGGTCTGCTCTGCTCCTGTCACCATGTACTCAGTAGTAGTACATGTATGTGAATGTGTTTGAGTAAGAATTAACAGAGCAGACAATGACCGAAGGTAAACATTATGCACATGTTACTTCTCTAGTTTTTTTTTTTTTTTGTGAACTGTGGCCATGATATCTTTGTTAAAGGCACCCAATGCAGTTTCAGGTCAAAAGTAAATTTTTGGGTCATTCTGTTAATATAGCAAGTTGATTCAATCCTACCCATACTATAGCATATTAGTATCTGTGAGGCAAAAATGCAAAGTCGAAAATATATTGTTTTTACTCTAGATCTGTTTCCACTTCATCCGTTCAAAACACAAAAGGTCAATGACCAGAACAAGACGTCTCTCACCATGGTAACTGGTGTTGGGTTACATCGTGTTGCAATTTTATAGCAGGAGGGATTTACATGTAGACTCCTGTTACTATTATATATTACTATATATATATGAATATGCTTGACTAAGAATTAGCAGAGCAGACCCCATGCGAAGGTAAGCATTATGCATTTGCTTTGCAAATGTTACCTTTCTAGTTAAATGTAAACCTATTTTCAGATGGCCACGACGCCGTGCTGAGATTCAACTGCGCTCCAACGGAAAAGTTTGAAGAGTTTGTCGGCAGCCGAACGGACATACGACTGATAAACACTCAGATTCCCGGGCGAGAGTGCACAAACGAGTTTTGGAACGACAGCATCGCCATGTTTAACCACGAAATCACGGTCATCAGAAACATCAACGCGATCAACTTGGCACGAGGGCGCATCGACGCCAGGAAAGATCGGTATCGTGTGTTTGAAAACTTGAGGAAGTACAGGAAAGCATATCCGAACAGGACCTTACCGTTCATACAGAGGCCCGCCTTCGGGAAGGATATCGCCACCGAACTCGGACGGTTCTGCCTTACCACAGGAAGATGTAATCAGACAAAGTTGTCCCCCAGCACGGGGATGTTTGGTAAGCTTTCCACAATCTCCAAACCGTTGTTTTTCGGCTCTGTAGTAGCCTCCGTAGCAGGGGGTTTGGTCGTCTTCGGCTGTTTTCTGATTAGCCCAGTTTTAAGTTCTAAGTTCAGCGCTTTTTCGTTGAGTTCAAGGTAATATAGGAATTAACGTTTGTAATTCAACCAGGCCGGCTATGTTGTCTATATGTAATCAGAAAATAGCACATAAACGCTCCCAAAGACCCTGAAGACCCCCCCCCCCGGTTTTTGGCATGCTGTTGCAGCTCTGTACGTGTTTTGGCGACCCCCAGGTTGGAGACCTCAAAGGCAGTTTTAACTTAAGAGCAGAAGCGAGTGTTCAAGGTTGTTGATACTATTTTTTGAATCCCAAAAAGTAATTATTTCGGCAATTTGACATAACGTTTGGACTAGGCAGCTGTCATATTGCACGGCATAGATATTCTGGTAACCCCCCCCCCACC